TGCGGCGTGATACCTCACGCATTCCGGAGAGTTCAAATAGTTGTATCATTGCGCCGTAAGAATGAGACGGAAGATTTAAATGGAAATAGCCTCCATCCACGCTGGGCGTGTCGCTTTCCTTTGACATTTTTGCAGTGGTGAATGCATAGCTGAATGTGCTCCAGCTAGAATTGTATTTAGCAAATGGATGGTTTTTCTACGAGGATTAAAAATAAACGAGTGGTACGGAATATAACATAAGAATATGACTATGCGAAACGATAATCCGGGTATCGGAACTAAGCTGTTTTGAAAACGCCTTCAAATGCGGCGTGATACCTCACGCATTCCGGAGAGTTCAAATAGTTGTATCATTGCGCCGTAAGGATGTGATGGAAGATTTAAATGGAGATAGCCTCCATCCCTCTGTACTGAAAATCTTGAAAATACTTAGAAATTTTCCAAGAAGTATACTTCTTTGAAAATTTAAGAATAATTCTACAGTGCCCCAGCGTGTTTCTGAAAATCTATTCACCTTTTGCGAAATTTTTAGGGTAAATTTTTCACTTTTTCTTACGAAACAGGGGTTGCATGTGAATTCGTAGCGGTTTTTAACGGGCAACACGGGCCCCGGTACCAGGGACCCAGTATCTCCCCCCTTGTGGCGGGCCTGAGTATAAGAACGGTCTTGTTTCTATACTTCTCATAGAAAATACTCAAAGAATTAATTTATATTTACACAGATAATATGTAACGTCCTTTCATTTTAACACAGTTTCACATGTATGCTTAAGCTGACGAGGGAATAATCATAATGGTTCAAATCATGACATTTTTCGAGCACTGATCCGCTCAAACGGCTCATGCCTTTTGACGGTGGATACTCGCGGACAAAAACACTCAAAATAATTCAATATTTTAAAACGTGCTTATGTTTTGAACAGGTGTCAAAGAACTTCCAGCTGGTCAAAATCGACTGTGGAAACTACAAAGAGATGCTTTCACATCCCCGGACCGCGAAGTTGATTGCAGAGGAAGCACCATTTTCTTGGTGACGGGTGACTCTCAACATAAAGTGACAAGACTGAGAGAAGATGGAGAGAAGACGAAGAGAAATCATGAGAAGCTGTATAGACTGGAATATGACTATAATAAGCATCACATAGACAGCAGACATCACGTTGATATGTTATTATCAAAATTACGCTTTCAAAAAACAATGGAGAATTTGCAAGGGGCTAGAATTTGATGGATTTCCTCCGTTCGCAGATAGTAAAATGGATCAAATATACACTACAGGCAGCCTGATTGTTGATATTTTGTGTTTGTCGGGTTTAGCTAACATAGGTTAAAAGGCCGAACGTGATTGGTCGGCTGTGTCTCATCACTGCTTTATCGTGCCTCTATCAGGTGGAATGGACGACATACTGTCGGAAACTTAGGAGGTGCCTTTACCTTATCGTGAGTTCCACCCGCGACAAAGGTACGATAAAGCAGCGATAAGACATAAGACATAGCCGACCAATCACGCTCCGCATTTTAACCAATGGTCTATGTATGTTATCTATGTCTACCCGACAAACACAAAATTTCAACAATCAGCTTGCTGAGTACACTGAGCACAAACATATCCTCAGCATTTTTACGAGCATTTTTTTCCTCGTAATTGAACAATTACTGCAGGAGTTATGACAGATTGATCGAGTCTGTGAAACGTACTTGTTGTCAAAATGCGGCAAATGTTCTCTGTTAAAATTTTATTTTCCTCCAATCTTCCATATCAAGAGAAAATATATTTTTGCTATGAGCTTGACTTATCCAGTGGTTCCATATGAAGCAACCAAATTTCCTTGTGCAAATTTTCCATTGGCTCATAAATAAAGTAGAATTGTAATTTTTTTTTTTCCACAAATATACTTTTGTACAAAGATTTCATAGATTTCCTAATATTTCTTATTATTTTTGTACGTAAAATTTAGACTTGCAATGTTTTCGTAAAAAAGCAATGTTTGCTATGTATGCCTTCTTAAATTTCACTTAAGCATAAAATCATTTGTGAAATTTAAAGGGGTGAACCACTTTTAATTTCACGGTAAACAGAATTTTCCTCTGAGTTTTCCTTGTTTGTCAAAATCAAAAATGACGAAAAGCCTATCAAAGTGGACGGAAAATATACGTTCATTATTTTTTTGTGGGATTTATCCTCCAAAGTTGAGCTTCAATTCATCAAAATAAATACATTAAATGCGTCTTAGTTTATTTATTTCAGCGATTGAATCCGAAAACAACTACAACTTTGAATTCTAGGATTTTTATTGCAAATTTGGAGAAAAATGCGTGAACAATAAATATTACACTTAGATACTGTCTGACGTGAAGTCAGCCTCAGTGGTGTAGTGGTCAAGGCAGTTCGCTGCCAACACTGAGGTCCCGGGTTCAACTCCCGGAGGTGACTGATATTTGAGGACACTCAAATATCAGTCATCGTGACTGTGGATGACTATGCCACTCCAATACCCTGACCCTTCGAGGTTACAGGGTGCGGGAGGGACATAGTCACCCAGTAAGTAATCCGTCTGCACTGTTCGACTGGGTTGTGAAATATCGGTAATCACTCGTAGTGTGCGCGACTGCCAGCGCTACCTATCAGTGTAGATTGCAACAACACAGTCCAACTCGGTGGAGGCATGGCCGTGCTCCGAAAGTCCGTGCTCTGCAGCGTCTGCCATCACAGTCTTTGATAAGACCTTCCGTTGGCTATCAGACGACCGCTGAGCCTTGCGGAAATATAGATGATACTCAATGTGTCAATAGTACGAAGATATGTTAAGGAGTACGATCCAACTTCGGGGTGCACGACGGCAGTTGCCAGTTGCCTTGGCCCCTTGAGGGCGCCTCGCCGGCCAGCCCGGCCTTACTTACTTACTTACTTACTTACTGTCTGACGTGGCAAATATTGTCGTGCCTATTATAGATTTGTCAGATGAATCGTTTTTACAAAAACGAAGATGAAAACACAATGAACTTCTGATTTTGATATTAAGATTTTTCATAAACAGATGAGAATCTTCCATTTGTATGACATTATCAATAATTAGGGGATGCTCACCTGAGCGGTTCGTTCCGCGCCTCAGGCGTGAAGCGTTATTTTTATGAGTTCATATCATAGAGTAAAACTTTATGCAGGTCATAGACTCGACGTGCGTTGAGTGTCGCCCACCATTCACGAAAATGACCTTCAAGGAGCCATGTCATTCGGGATTTTAAAAATAGGGCTAAACAATTTTCAAAGTTGCCATTTAGTGAGAAGAACAATATCAGTGTCAAGAAGGTGATTTACAGTTAAAGCCCATAGTCATGAAGGTAGTAAATAACGTGGTAAGTAATAAGTAGTAGTAGTCAATGTAGTAAGGTTCATATATACTTTTAAATTGAAGATGGCGAGATCGAAAGAATGTAAATTTCGACTATTTCTTGACCACGGGTACCATCCTCATACTGTACAGCTTCTATATTTTTTTTTAGGCTTGGGAGTTTACTTTGAGCAAACGATTGATACCGTCGTGTTTATTGCAAAGTTTTCTTATTACTAATGATCGAATCGAATGGAATAGACTCCATTGATAGTTTTCCTAAAAATGAAGTTTGAGACATCCCTATCTGAGCGCAGTTTTGAAAACTCATCAATTAGGGGAGCGTTGCAGTTAGACAGAAGTTTGCCAGATAACTTTTTAAGGCAATTCACTGACCTTCATGCTTCTGTTGAAGGATATGTCAGCCGTATTTTTTTCTAAGAATTACACTTTGCAGAGACTTTACCACCAGAAAAAAATTCAGGGGTATTGGTTTGTAAATTTGCAATAATAAATCTTGATTTCTTCTACTTTTATACAGATATCTAATTTACCAATTTGGTTTGGTGGAACACGTCATCTTAAAGAAAAATAGGAAGTAAGAACACGCAATGGTTACAAGTTTATCATTATTGCATAGTATTGAAAAAAATTACATTAATTAATATCGGCTAATCGCGTATTTTTTACTACTCTCTCTCAATACTAAAATTATTTACCTTTTAACCCTTTCCTTGATAAATGTTCAAATTGAGAGAGTACCAACTTTTTGATTTTACGTGATATTAATTATTCATTTAAATGACTTCATGATCCCTTATCCCTCCTTTTTCAATTTTTTGAACTTTCAAAGGTAGTGTTTTGGGAATGATTTAAAAAGATCTTTTTTTAGGTTCATTAAGGTTATATTTCCGATGGTTTTATTGTATATTCCACGAAAAAGGAGCTTCTCTTGAAATTGTGGTCGCAACGGTTGGATCTATGATCAACTCTCTATAGGTTTTTCTCTTCAATTTGATCACCTCAACGATTTTTTCAGACATCTGTAAAGACAAACCAAAAGAAAATGATAGGTAAGTATGTATTGAACATAAGAAAAGGAGATTCTATGTTACAACTTTCAAAGATGCACCTCTGAGGAAAAATCAGACGTACAAAACCGGCTTCCTTACTGAATGCTAATCAACACTCTGTAAAACAAGCATATAATAGTAAATTAACTTATGCACCAAAAGAGACTGGTAATTAATCAGAAAGAGTTCCGAAAGCTATTAAAGCTCAAGCCCTGATGATGCGTATGGTTTATAAACCAAGTTGGTCGAATAATATAAATTTCTAGTCCGCTAATACATATAATCGCAAATGTCAAATGTATATGTGGCGTTGATCGGCTGGGGATCGAGTGCTCTGACATCAAAGGAAATATTCGTGAATAACATCGGGTACTGCGGAGGGGGAGAGTGTCTAGAACTATCGGAAAACCCTCTCTCAAGAGTTTAGGATAGGGATAAGTGACCTCAAATTAGTAGCGGAATCGGTGAGAAACTGACGTCATTATAGACGGTCATTAAATTCATTATAAATTATCTAAATTTCCTTACAAATGCGCTCACCTGTTCAATTTCCTTAGACGTGAGTTGGTTGAGGTTTTCATTTTCAATTAAAAATATTTTGCTCCTCAATTTTATGGATGATCCAGCAAACTCACGCAAGAATTCTAGACTTTTCTTGACGGCCTTGAATGCTCGAACCGCGTAGAACTTCTTGTTGTCTGGAGTCAAGAGGTTAAATGCGTTCTCTAACAATTCTGACTCATCATATTTGTTGGGGTTATGTTTGTTGTTCTGCAACATTATTGTCAATGACGGAATTAAAATAATAAAATGTCCATAAAAGTATCTATAAACATCATTCTAAAGATTAATCATTTTAAATTAATTAAACCAGAATGAACATGCTCTAAAAAATCCTTTCCAGAAATCCAGCAAGTTAGGTGCCAAAGGAGGAAAGATTTACTTGGGTCAAACAGATTTCTCCTCAAGCAACGAGAATCCATAAAACTAGCCTCTGCCGGATGATTAAAATATTCCTCAATGAAAACTAAGATGTTGAGATGATGTGTCGCTGAGGATGGTGTCGTAAGTGTAAAATTTACCGAGAGACAAGTATGGTATCCTTCTTGAAAATTGACATTTTCTTGTGTAACTTAATTGAACATCAGCTTAATTCCAATTTTAGCTATAAAATGGCCGCCTGCATCAGATTAAGCTAAATTACTAAAAAATATCAACTCCAAATATTCGGGACCGTTACGATTGTACAATCAATTCAGACTCTAATTTGGTTCCATTTACCTTATGATTTCAGGGCAAAGTACGTTACGAAAATTTAATTTATTTTATTTTATGCAATTTCATTTTCTTAAACGTATTATAAATAAGTAATGGCATCGCAAACATCATTATACCTCTGCATTGATTCCTATTAGCGTTGTGACCAGGAACTCATTTAGATCATGTGATGGGAGCATCGAGCACAATCTAGAGGGGACCCCTTGGAGCAAGAAGAGTGACACCTCGTGGCCTGAGTCGGTGAGAATCCTTGACAGCAACATCCCTATACCACCACTCCATGTCTCGGCAATGATAGTAAAAGGTCCTAGCTTTTGGATTTGAAAAGCTGACTGTCATCAAAAGAAGATATCGTTGGTTAAAATCGGAAAATGCGCATCACTGATTGCAGTGCAAAAATTGACACATGTTTTATCACTCTCAAAGGAGAAAAAACCAACCAATTAGAAAATGTATGTCGAAGGGTTGTGGTTCTGTATACTGAAAGCAGTTTTGATTCTCGGATAAAATTCGTCGTAGGCAATTTTTTCTTTTTTTTTAAAAAAAAAAAAATTTCAGCAGATGAGTTTCGGATTTTTGTAAATGAATGCCATTGCGGGCCTTTTACAAATAAAAAAGTTCATTTTTGGAAAGAATTTATTGACATGACGAAAAATTATTGGAAAAACTGCACTTTAGCGCACCGATTATTGGAAAAACTGCACTTTAGTGCACCGATTATTAGAAGAAGTGCACTAGGTGGGAGCCAAGTTTAATGGAGAGTGTTGAAATTTCTAAATATTCTCTGCATTAAATAGATAAACGTAAAAAACTGGATTCAGGAACGTATCACATAGTTTGCTCTAATATGATTTCCCGACCTTAAATATAACCTATGGAATTCTCTATAATTTGAATTCATAAATTGAGGACCGTCTTAAATATATGCGGACAGCAATTTCATACTCCTAATTTATTTTTGATGAATGCAGTCTAAATTTCAAATTATTTTCCCCCTCATATTATATATTTCAGATTTTTTTATGTATGCATTGGATATTTTAACTTCGAAACTAGAAAACATTGAAATGTGATCCTAAACATGCAATAAACATATTAAACTGTTCTAAAACTGATTAAAAGCTGGGTTGCGTATGAATTATTAAAGCATGACATATATTTTATTAGTCAGTCACAGTGGTGTAGTGGTCAAGGCAGTTCGCTGCCAACACTGAGGTCCCGGGTTCAATCCCCGGAGATTACTGATATTTGAGGACACTTCCGTCTTCCAAACACTTGTTCCCACACTTGTTCCCATGAACTTACCCTCAAAAGATTCAAAACAACTTGGTTGATCGATGGAGCTTTGTGGTGAATATGAGCAACAAAACAGGGATACATTAATCTAGAAATAAGCGGCCGTAATTGCGTCTCGCAAAAAGCAGGGATCAGAAAGACAGGCCTTGTGTCAGTTCCGCTGATCTCGGAGATTGCCCTGGAAGGAACTGGAAAAAATTTGGCACATTCCTCGCTTGAAGTAACGGTATCTTTTGCTGATAAACACTGACCAATCATATCCAATTCTTCTAAAGATGAAGGCAAATAATCAGTGATCTTATCCGCTAGAATTTCACTGTCATCTGAAAATAAGAATAAGTCTCGTATCAGGAATATTCAAAAGTTTTATACTGGAATAGGTTCTTGTTGCGAGTAAAGGTATATTTTAGAGAAATTGTCAATGCAATTTCATTTTCACAACAAGGTCATCCTTTGAGAACGATTAATTGTATCAGGGTGTTTCAACAAACTTTAGGTCGATGGAGTCAGCCTCAGTGGTGTACTGCCGTGCTAAGGAAGAACGCCGTATGAACCTTCAGGCATTGCCAAATTTCTTCCGGCAAATCACTAATTTTTGGGAAAATTTGTAAATATTATTCCTCCAATTTTTCTGATAATTTTGTTCAAAATTTCACCTAAAGTTCCTGAAAATTTCAAGGAAAAATATACATATCTTTACTCAAAAATAAACATTTTATCGAAGGAAATTTGGCAACTCTCGAATGTTCATACGGCGTTTTTCCTTAGCACGGCAGTGTAGTACCTTTGTTGGCAGTGGCAGTAGTAGTAGTGGTCAAAGCAGTTCGCTGCCAACATTGAGGTCCCGGGTTCAGACCCCACAAGTGACTGATATTTGAGGACACTCAAACTTCAATCAAATGCGCTACTCTTCAGTAGCGCATTTGATTGAAGACATATTCTAGTCTACTTATTAAAAATATCACCTAATATGTATTCTTAAAATGGAAGCGCGGGCAAAATAATTGCTACTTACTTGAAACATATAGTGTGAGACATAATCTGGAATCAATTAAATTGTATGTAGTTGAGAAAACCTACTGAAAGAAGTTTGACACTATCTAATCCTCAAATCAACAGTAATTCACACCTTTTTTTCTTGGCTGAATGGTTTTCGTCCTCTTCTTGGTGACACACACAATAGACCCCGTGGAAAGGAGGGAGGCCTGGTCGAGAGCTTGGGTATAGTCAAGATGGCTATCACAAACGACTGAAATCGAGTCTTCAAAAGAGAATGCGCTGGTTTCATCCCAAATATTTATGATAGAACAAGACTTGTTCAGCTTCCTTGCGGCTTTTTGGATATTTTTAACGATCTCGGTATCCATGTCCTATGCAGAGGGAAGAAATTAATGTGGATGTGAAAAAACATTTTCTGAACGTTAAAATCATCAATAAATATATGTGACATCATAACATATGATATTTTAATCAACCCGATTAAGCAATTGGCTCAAGTATTACGTAACGCACTTTTTCCGATTGTTTCATCGCCCCTTTTGTAACGCACCCGTAACGCAGAGATACACTCCCTTCTTGAACAGGGCCGGATTAAGGAGGTGGCCACATGGGCCGCGGCCCATGGCGGCAAATTTAAGGGGCGGCAAAAATTTGCAATTTTTTTAGTGTAGGTATAAAAAAATTGGATTTAGACAAAAAATTACAAACGAGAAAAGGCAACAAAATCTCTCGTTTACTGAGAGTATAGTAATTTCTAATTTTGTCGTCTCTTAGTGATACAAGAGACAGTGCCTTCAATTAGTCGAGTTAAGAGAGCAACCAAACACGCAATTTGGCCTGAAACGGCGCGACTTAGAGAGAAATGATAACGAGGACTTGAGATGAAAAGGAGAAGCCCTCGGCGCGGCGATCGGCATGTAACACATATTAGCGCCTACAAGACTGCACGAATACTTCTCGCATTGCATCAAACACAATGCGGTCATTGCGGTCAGCGTGAAACAGATAGCGCCTTTAAGAATGCATGAATACTTCACGCATTGCGTCCAACACAGTGCGTTCAGCAGCGGTGGGCGTGGAACGCATAGCGCCCACAAGCCTGTCTGAATACTTCACGCTTTGCGCCAAACATGGAAGGCCTTGTCCACACAGAGATAGGTTTACGAAACTTAACTTTCGCGCAAAGTTTCGTTAACTTTTGCTAGTGGTGTTGACAGGGCTTTGCCAAAAAATGTGTTCAACACGAGTAAATGCGTCTTATGCACCCCTCCTCCGCTGGCACGTTCACTTGATGGTTTTTATCTAGTTTCAAAACGAATGAGAAGGGGGCGGCAAGTAGGTGAATCCGGCCCTGCTCTTGGATTACGCAACACTAGGCTCTTGGAGGCCTGACCTCCCCCTCGTTTTAAAAAAAATCCCCCTTGAAAAATCTTCAATTTTTGCACGTTTTTCTTCAACGTCTCTTTTTCCCCACGGCTCGCCTTGTTACGTAAAGCTGGGATTGACCTGTCCTTCTCCTGTTGTAACGCACCGTAACGCTAGCTCAACCCCCCCTCTCCCCCTCTAAGTGCGTTACGTAATACTTGAACAGCCCCTAAGAGCATGTATCAAATTTTAACTAAATATTGAGCTGTAATAGGTGATAGAATTGGGTATATATTACGAACATTTCTGGAGTGTTTAATGAAAAAAATGAGCCTTACAAATGCCACTGAATAAATTGCCGTGACCTCCCCAAGCACCGTGGCTTGCGCTAAAAGCTCTTCGGCACCGGATGGAGATCGGGCCTTGCCGGCTGACGTCATGAGAACGGATGCGTTTTGTTTCGATACGTGTTCGTTGATTTTTCGAGCGGCGTGTGAGCTGCCGATTGATTCTGTCGTTGCCAACACGATTGTGTTTACGTTGCGATCTAGGAGCCATTCGATTAAGGAGGCAGACCTCTTTAAATTGGAACCTGTAAAATAAATTCAAGCAGTAGATCTGTAGCACACAAGAGGTACACAATTACACAACATTGCAAAAAAATTACATTAGGCGTAACAGAAATGCCTAAAAGCCACGTCAAAACTCTAATCTCGTGCAACTTTACCCGTCAATGATCTGCGCAGTTGAGTGCATCTTTTTTGTACAACAGACCCTTGAGTTTAGGGTTAATTTTATGTTACTATTTTCAGTCTGTTTATCTCTTTAAATACATACGTGTGCTGGCATATGTGTTTTAAAAATATAATTTTGGCTAGAAAAAATACAACACATTGTAATGAAATAAAACATCAAGCGTAAACATTTTAATAATCAGGAAAAAGCCTTCCAAGTCAATATGCTTTCATTATTTTCAGAAAACAATCCATAGAACATTTAGGAGCTTTGATACACAATCCATAATTCAGCCCCAAATATTGGTAGATCTATCGGTTTGTTTGCGGTCATACTCAACTTTCGTCAAGACTATGCGAAAGTTTCTCTCAGTCATCGATCCAAAGATGATTGAATACCTGATACACATGTTCAACTGGCATTTAAATGTACACTATTTACGTCAAGATACTATGATTTTCCAATTATAACAGTCGGAGAATACATTAAAAAAGGTAAAACATAATTAAAATCTTACTTAAAATAAGGCAGACCTGTTCCGGATCGTATCGAGTCAACTTGCACCCTTGATCTATCTTTCCTTGATCATTATGGCACAGATGTGTAGTTGGTATTGTGAGAACGAGTTTCGCTCTCTCCTTTTGAGTCGTTTTAATTAGTCTAGAAATCAGTTAGCAGAATGAAAGATTAAATAAAAAAACAGGAAAAAAATTGCGTCTTAGGAAAACATAAAAAATAAATTAAAAAAAATATAAATTGAGAAAATCAAAAGAAACTATGTAGCAGGTAAACTCTATGCACACAGTTCCTTTTCATTATCTTCATTTCCACTCGGTCCTTTTTAGCACGAAAACGTCCAATGCATCATGAAATTATTCGTCATTCTAGATATTTGACCTGACTCTCTTCATAGGACATTGAAACTTCACACTGTATACTTTGATGACAGTGCTGATGAGTTTACTTCAGACTTTTTTAAAATCGTGATTTGACATTGCTCCAGTTAACGGTTTGGTATTTTCCATAATATAAGTAAATGCGTGTTTGCGTGTGACTCTACGTGGAATCCATGCAATTTTACCGAAAAAATAGCAGAGCAATCGACTTTATCTCTTAGCCAATGTCACACGATCAAATCTAGCCGTCAAATGGACGAGGTCGCATCCCATCAAAGACTGTGATTGGCTCATTCGATGTTCAGTGCCAATCAAAACACAAGATCTTAATACATCGATAGCTCAATTCGATCGTGTGACACATGCTATCGCGCTCGACAGACTTATCATTTTCAGAGTAAACTAGGGGGCTACGCCCCCTGGCCGCTACGCAGCCCGACCCCCTGAAGGCGTTCCGCGCCATGAATGGGCCGCTTCGTGGCCCTATTTTTACCCTCCTATCAGTGTTAGTTTTATTTTTCCCCTAAAAAATTATGATATGAGGTATACTTTAATTTTAAACTTTACTTAAAATTACTTTAAAATTAAAGGACGCGTTTTGGAATGACTGCTTGATGAAATATTGCAGTAAAACAATAAACAATTATTATAGTCAGGTATTAATCGAAATTTCAGGGGTCGGGGATCGAACCTACACCGAGTTCAAAGTGGACGCACTTGACGTCTTAGACGACACAGCCATCGCTCCACTTTTCATGCTGGTGCGAATCTTGTGTAGATAAGTGTAGAGCTGATGCGCAGGCTACCCATCTACAACTGCGCAACTTCCTCGACCACTGCGCATCCTCCCGCGCATAGCGGTAGCAGTGCCGGAGCATTCTGTAAACTCACTCACTTTTGGCGCGTATACGTAGTATACCGCCTTTGCGATCGTTTCGAACCCTGCTCGATACAATAACCGAGTCCCTTAGTTCCTTACCGAAAAGTGACTACCGCGAACTTCTGAGATTTTCCAAAGCGTGTAAAAGGTTTATTTATCCGTCAATAATTATGATTTAAAGTTGTTTCTCATTCTGGGGCTCGCTAGTTTATGTGCAGTGAATACCAAGAGTCTACGTTACTTGGTTTTTTTAAAAAAAGCCTAAGAGTACGACGCGCTGATTTAAAATATGCATATATAAGCGGAAGCAAGCGAACTGATTCGAGGATGGCTGACCAGTTCGGCACTCCTTGAATGAGAATTTCACTCACTCCGTTTTGTTCAAAACGTTGCTTTGACATATCTCCACACCACTGTTATCCTTTTCAAAAGTTGGTACTCCTTGCTCTGATAGCCGGGGCCAGCAGGATAGTGGTAAGTGCAATCTGTGATGAGCCTCGAGACTCATTAGACCATTTGCTAAACGTGGCTCATACAGGAGTCCACTCAGCCCTCTCGTCCCCACGCTCCTGATCACTGCGTCGGCGTCACGAAGAACAATGGGCCTTGGGCCGCCTTGGGTCCCAACGCGGCCGATACCCGTACCCCAATTACTCACGCTTCATTAACCATTTCACCGTCACGCTAGGATTCATCCAATTTTCAAAAAAAATTGTTTCGCATGTATTTAGCAATTTTTTCCTTACTCTCCGTTAAAACACAAATAAAAAGAGACCTCATTCATAAAAATCGGCCGAATAGAAGAGAAGTTACAGTAATCGAAATCCGAAGAAATCAACAAAACCTCGACTCCTCGATACGAAAAATAAAATGAAGGGGAAAAAAGAAAGTATAAATTACAATTAAATATAATTGACCTCAAAATTTGACAAACAATTCATTTATATACCTAACGCTGAAAAAACTGGGAGAAATTACAAAAAATTTGCCTCTTGCAAGGGGCTTCTTTGTAAGAATTTTGACCTGAAGACAACGGTCGAATAACAGCAGTACTCCATACAATACACGGTGTGCCTGAACGAGTTAAACATTTTTCATACGTCCAAATCGAAAAATCTTTATATTTTTAACTACAATGTTTCTTGAATCGTTTAAGCAAAAAAAAAAAAAAAAAAAATTCCGTCGAGATTCTGGAACGCAAAGGCGCTTTAAAAGTATTCTGGGGCTATAATAGCTAAATCACCGGTAGTAAATTCGTTATATTATTAAAAAGAAATTGACTCCATAGTTTAATTCCTTAGTTTCTTGAATACGATTATTTTAAGCACTTAAACATTTATACCACCAATTTTAGCCATGGGGTGATTTCCTGAGAGCCGATAATATCACGAATTTCTCATAGAACCCCTCAACAGTGGCTTGCTTTTTTGGCAGCCGATTCGGCCATCGAACCGGAGTTTAAATGGAAGCTGATAATAACCCAAAGCTCTGAGAAAAATTTTGAGATGAGTATAAGAACGGTTTGTTGTAAGTAGCGAGGAGAGGCGGGCAAAGCGGCTAAAATCCTATCTAATTTTTACAGTTTTTCTGTTGAATTAATGTTGCCGCGGGCTTCTGACTGTCCACACATAGTTCTGTTCAGCATATCGATACATAAGTATTTACATTTTACATACGTAGAATCTAATTTTCACGTCGGGGAGTTGACATATTTTGATTTTTTCGATTTTATACGGAAAATTGATGGTTTTTCGGGATTGAAATTATTATTGTTTCATGAAAAATAAATGCACCCAAAATGACTATAGCATATTGATTCTTACACATTTGCACTCACAAAATTGGTTGGTAAATTCAACGAGTGGGTGCATCGACCTGGTATATCAAGTTTCTGCAATTTTTTACGGCAAATCAGTAGATTTTCGGGATGTAGATTGCTTACTTTCAATTCATGAATGAATAAAGCAACGACATGGTTGAACTTCTTTGCATGGAAAGACGTTTAAAATAACAAAATCAAGACGTATTTAATGCAATTGCATTTATATCGAGTCAATTTCTTTTCAATAATATAACGGGATTTTTACTACCGGTGATTTGGGTATTTTAGCCCCAAAATACCTTTAAATCGACTTTATCTTCTAGGAGTTCGACAGAATTTTTCCTTTCTTCGCTTAAATTATTCCGTAGCACTTTTCTTCAAGAATCTGATAAGATTTTGCTTGAGGCAGATCAAAAAACTTAAATTCGATCGAATAGCTTTCTACATTCACAATACACGGTCTCGTCAAGGTGCGTCTTTGACCTCGCAGTGTTGGATCGTGAATTCTCTTTTTGTGCTGTTTGCCTGTTTTGAAATCTCTGTAAATGAAAACTAAAGGGGTTGATATGTGCGAGTTAATGACGCGCCTTATCAACACATTGTGTTGGAGTTCACTGCTTGTTATAACGTGATTTTAAAAAAACCTGGGTCCTTTTTCCAAAATCTGATTACAGCGGGCTCATCTAGGGCCTATTACCTGTCGATTTACGCAAAAATCATGGAAATCGACCCGGTAGAACGCTCAAACGAACTATGACAAAAAGTATAAATTTACATTGTTTAAATGGGAGAATTCGCAACTTTACCACGTAATATAAAAAAACTTGGGCTATATTTTGAAAATCTGAAAAGAGTTGGCTTATCTAGAAACAATTGCCCGTCGATAGCCGCAAAAATTATGAAAATCGGCCCGGTAGAACGCTGGAACTAAGCGTTACCAGTTTCGCAAAATTAGGAGGTCTTGGAGCTTATAGTATAGATATAGATGGATCGCGTTAGGCAGAAAGAAACCAAGGCACATCGGCTATTGCCAAATTTAAGTGGGCAATTTAATTTTTTACTTAAAAAAAACGTCGTGCGGATCTGTGTGCAGACAGTGAATTTTCTGCAAAGTACGAGGCAAATTCCTTTAAATTTTCAAAGAAATGCGCACAAACGTTCCCTCGTAAAAAATTAAATTTCCCAGTTTTCTGCTTAACGCGGTCCAAATGATCGAAAACCCCAGTGAACTCACCCTGGTCGATACTGCATCTCATCGATAGATGCCGTTTTGTGTGGAATAGCAACGGCCTGTTTCGATTTCAGGAACTCGTCGACCGATCTGTGTAGCTGGTTCTTGCGATAATCGGGCAGAAACAGGATATCTGACATGGAGTAGCTGAAATAACTGACAGACTTGAGGAATTGGCTCATCGGAAGCTGAGCATGTGCAGCAGACATTTCTTCGTTCAGGTTGACGAAACATCCATATTGGGCGACTGAATGCCAAGATGCGATCATTTCCTCGCGTGGTAAGTCACTCACGATAATGTCGGCGCCTCTTCCGTTGGTCCCGAGCATCAAGGGCACAAAGAAGTCCCCGCTGTTGTAGTTGGTGATGTGTGATGCTGGTATCTGGTATCAAAAATATGTATGATACATAAACCGGGATGGGTGAAAGGAACGCTCTATGCGCGTTTCTAAAATGAGAAATCCTCATTTGGACTGCAATTTACAATTTGGACCTATAAATTCTGGCCTGGTTTAAAAACAACGTATGTGCCATTAGTTTCCCTAGGCACATAATTGTTTTTTCAGATGAGCCAGAATTTATAGGTCCAAATTGCAAAATGCAATCCATTTGAAAATGTTGATATTTTAGGAGGCCCCCCTCCCTGGCCCCTCTTGACGAGTTTAAGGGTCTTAATCCCCCCTCTCAAATTCTCTCCTCGACATGGAAAATTGCCATGGAATCTTTACAGATAATTATTATATTTTTAATATTTTGTGCTCGGCACTCGAAGGCTTGACAAACAGGGCCATGCCCTAGTCGTTAGTAGAAGAAGAAGAAGAAGAAGCGATGATTAGAACAACATTTTGAATCGAAAAATAACTCGAAAATTGTAAAAGTTCTATGAGGTGAATTTTTGCGAGTTGGATATGGTCGAATTTTTCAACCAGATCGACAGGAATGTAAACCAAAAGAGAAAGACGCTCCGATCCTTTCAAGAACTAAATTCAGCTAATTAATTTTGGCCAGCATTTACATCCATCCACTTTCCAACTAACCTCGGAAGGCGGGTCGAGAATTTTGGATGTGATCGTCATTGTTGCCAGCATGAAAACCAAATGTTGTAAACGCAATTTCGCCCATAGGAAATTTCGTTGCGTTGTAACGGAGGTTGGCAGTAGGTTAAAAACTTCGCCCAAATTCAATGGCACAAATTTGCCTATGGCGTACCGAGCGTTTCTTTTGCCAGAAAATTTTCATGGTGTATGGTCAAAAGTTCCCCACGCAAGGGGCTCGTAGGTAAATATACTGAAAATCAAGAAAAATGACGTTTTTCCGTGTAACAGTTTCCAGTCTCGGGAGAGGGAAGGTGCGGACCCTTCTTGGCCCGCCTCCTTCTAGTCACACAGCGCCATAGAGGCTCCCCGATTTCTTAAAAGTTCATTTTTTCCCCCAAACTTTCCTAGAGCTCCTAAGAAATTCCTTGGTTCTTAACCGTATTTTCTGAGCAAAAAAAATAAAATTAATCTGTAAAAAAATAATTGATCAACCAAAAGAAGTAAGATTATTGGGCAGAAGGTAATATTGCCGATATTTTTCAGCGATTAGTGACTTTCGCGAAAGTCGATAATTCTTACGATTTTTATTTTTTATGTATACATTATTTTATTCATCATTATGAATTGGACGTCTAAATGGCGGTCTTCATCATCTCCAGAATTCATCGTGAACCTAGTAGAACTGATGGAACCTGCTCCTTTCCAGGAATTAATCATGATCTTTAAAAGGAAAATGGTGATTATTAGAGTGGTTACTCAATACGACAAGAGTCTCAAAGACGGTAAAATATCTCATGGGCCCTCTCTTTAAAAAAAACGCATAATCTAGTGACACGTGGCGCCTCCTGGCTGCATGGGGATTTGGGCAAGTGATATTCCCGTTACGTAATTTTTTTATCTCGAGAAAATAAAAATTCAATAATTTTCATTTCCTCAATCGCCCAATAATGATAAGATTTTTTTCATAAACGCTAGACGAAGCCATAAGTTTGTCCAGAATCTTCCGAATTATTTAATTTGAAAGAGCCCTTAGTCCTGGTATTTTTGTGTTCAGTTCTAAGCTGAAGGTGTTCCATGCATTTAAATTTTGTCTCGGAGAAAAAAAATATTAACTTTGTGTAATTCATTATGTTGTACTCCATACACTTGTGTTATTCACTAGCTATTTATCTTCACGTCCCTATCATCTGGAGATTTTGTGCATATTCAAGATCTCGAGTTCATATTGGAGAAAGCCAGCTGTTCAGTATGAAAATAGGAAAAATCTTCAGAAAAGTACTCATGTGTGTCTTTGCAGAAATAGCAGTGATATTTTTATGAGTCAGAATTCTAATATGTCAATAAATTAAAGAAAATCTCTCTTGTAAGGAATGGTTCTACAGCGTGTGCGAAGGAATGGGGGAAAAACAATCGCGGATGACCAGTTGATAAAATATTTAAAAATATTGTTGCAAAAGCATAGCAATGTAAGTGATGATTTTTATGTAAAATATATCCGAGTTAGAAAAATACTTGTCAGCTAGGGATTTTTTTATTCAACATTTTCTCGAGATTAGGTTAGCCGTAATTACCCAAACATATACCGGGTGTCCGTAAAGTAACTGAAAAGTGGGTATAACTGTTGAACAAAAAAAGATAGAAGGTCGCGGTTTGTGGCATTCTTCATCGTCCAAAAGGGGAAATTTTTGGATGGGGGGCTTTTCCTGGTGGACCCCCCTGGGGGGGCCCCAGGGGGGCAACTTCAAAAATTCAAATAGCAACCCCCATTTTTTTAGACATGATTAAAAAGAACTTAAAATAACAAGACAAATGGCGCAAATAAAATTAAAATCGGTTTTTTCGTTCAAAAGTTACAGCCGGTCAAAGTTTTAAATTGACCACTTTTCAAAAAATCGCCGATGAGCTCCAAATTATCGGAAAAACAAAAACAAACCGGGAATGAAAAGTTTGAAAAGTGCTTTTTAGGAAGAGAAAAAACAACTGACGTTGTCACAAGTCTGGATGGCATTGTTTCAAAATAAAATTTCGGAAAATTCAACATGGCGGCAAATTTGAGGAAACGCAAAAAATGAAAATTCCAGAAACTGTTGTCTTTCAAATACCCTCTAGTTTAAGGAAATCAAAGGTATCAACTTTTATTCCTTTATTTGGCCAAGTAAGAGCAAATTTGCTGACTTAAAAGTTGTCAAGCAGGGCGCCTTCAATCGTTGGAGTATGCGACATCACAGGATTAAGTGTGCTGTCGAGCTCCTCCTTTAGGTTGCTTTAGAAATGTTTGAGGTCCTCCTCCTCAAATTTAACGAGAAAAAAGAAGAAAAGTAAAATTTACCAATTTTTACCCACAAACTTGGCGAGCCAAAAAAACATGATTTATCCTGATGGGGTAGGGGCGGTGGACATTTTTGACATTTCTCTCCCTGAAAATTAAAGATCCAAGAATAATTTTAATTCTCTAACTCCTGGCACTCCAGTTCGGCAAGGAGGATATCTGCTACGCTTCCAATTCCGAAGACGCCGTTCTACTCTTGATTATTATCTGAATTGAGATTATCTTATTGACAGTCTCAACCTTACGATTTGAGACACCAATCTTTTCGGTAACATCTGATGCACTATCTGATCGGTGACACGGTGAAGCGTAGCAGATATCCTCCTTGCCAAATTGGAGTGCCAGGAGTTAGAGAATTAAAATTATTCTTGGATCTTTAATTTTCAGAGAGAGAAATGTCAAAAATGTCCACCGCCCCTACCCCATCAGGATAAATCATGTTTTTTTGGCTCGCCAAGTTTGTGGGTAAAAATTGGTAAATTTTACTTTTCTTCTTTTTTCTCGTTAAATTTGAGGAGGAGGACCTCAAACATTTCTAAAGCAACCTAAAGGAGGAGCTCGACAGCACACTTAATCCTGTGATGTCGCATACTCCAACGATTGAAGGCGCCCTGCTTGACAACTTTTAAGTCAGCAAATTTGCTCTTACTTGGCCAAATAAAGGAATAAAAGTTGATACCTTTGATTTCCTTAAACTAGAGGGTATTTGAAAGATAACAGTTTCTGGAATTTTCATTTTTTGCGTTTCCTCAAATTTGCCGCCATGTTGAATTTTCCGAAATTTTATTTTGAAACAATGCCATCCAGACTTGTGACAACGTCAGTTGTTTTTTCTCTTCCTAAAAAGCACTTTTCAAACTTTTCATTCCCGGTTTGTTTTTGTTTTTCCGATAATTTGGAGCTTGTCGGCGATTTTTTGAAAAGTGGTCAATTTAAAACTTTGACCGGCTGTAACTTTTGAACGAAATAACCGATTTTAATTTTATTTGCGCCATTTTTCTTGTCTTTTTAAGTTCTTTTTAATCATGTCTAAAAAAATGGGGGTTGCCATTTGAATTTTTGAAGTTGCCCCCCCTGGGGCCCCCCCAGGGGGGTCCACCAGGAAAAGCCCCCCATCGAAAAATTTCCCCTTTTGGATGATGAAGAATGCCACAAACCGCGACCTTCTATCTTTTTTTGTTCAAAAGTTATACCCACTTTTCAGTTACTTTATGGACACCCGGTATATTAAACACTTGTAAAATTACTGTACATTCTATTCATTATTAAATAAAAAGTAGGAGCTCCTTCCCCCCACACTCTGTGTTTTTAAACGGCTGTGCTGTCTGCAATATGAAAAATATACTGCGTAAAATCTAATACATCAGTTTTCTTGCGCATGTATCATTATTTTTATCTAGCACATCTATATTGATATTGTGCTCCAAATTCATTATAAGATCATTTCAACTTGAAAAAAGCTTCATAGGGTCCTTAAAAATTTACTCATGGCCAAAATCTTTAATCTGCTATTTCTATCTTATTCTGAGTATGACGTCATCCACTGAGATAAAATATACAATGCTAATCTATCCTTATCGATACCGAGATTCAGCAATTACGATACGCTCTTTTGCATCGGTTGCTAGACCTAGAACACGGATGCAACTAAGGTGGAAGAAACCATGGTATACGTCGCCGTGGTGGATAACGTCATATGGACGTCTTTATGCTAAAAGGAACTATGTTGCAAACAAATTCCTTGCACATAGTTCCTTTTAGTATAAATATGTCCATATGATGTGTTTTCTAATTACTGAGCTTGGAAACTTGGTGTTTGGGAAGATCTTATTTTTTGCTAATTCATCTGATATCATCGAACACGATTCTATAACTGGCGCAACTAACACATTGCAAACCATGTTACATGTTTTTAAATAACTCAATTTTTTATGCGCTACGGAAATTAAGAGCGTCCAACAAAAATAATCAAAGTGACCAACGTACTTATAACCTTTCAGTCACATAGAATGAGCCGTAACATACCTGACCAAAAAGACTTTTGATGGTCTCCATACCCAATGCGTCAGGCGCTGTTGTGTACACAGTGTGGCCAGCGCTGAGAGCAACTGCGATACAGGCTACTCCAACCGGCTTGTGACCGCTGTGTATTAGCACGGTTTTCTTCCCCTCGTGCTTGACAAAATCTAACAAGGCGAGATGAGCCTGCGTTTGAAGAAATCAAGTAAAAAAAGAATTGAAATAAAAATGTGATACTTTTCTATGGAGCCAATACCCCAATTTTACACGATTCACGATGTACGTGAAAAAATCATTTGCATGGTAAAATGCGATATGAGTAGTATTTTTTACGAGAATGGAGGTCTACAATCAAGTGAATTGTTAGCAGAAGAAGGAAATGAGATAGAGAGCGTGAAAAAAGACATCATCCCGGGAGGGCACGTTTTCGCGGGGGGGGGGGGGNTTTTTTTTTTTTTTTTTTTTTTTTTTTTTTTTTTTTTTTTTTTTTTTTTTTTTTTTTTTTTTTTTTTTTTGATATAATATTTGATTAGTGTATTATACAAATTGCAACCAATTTTGACAGAAATTGTCGTGAAGGCCTATAAGTACAGTCTAAATAAGAAAAGATTAAAAGTGTAGAGTATATAGAGAAAATGGTACAATGTTGATAAAAGAGGGTTATAATATACAAAGAGATAAATTAATTAAAACTATAATTAATAGTTATACATCAGGTTGAGATTATATCACCGGGATCGCCTTGAGGCATTTCTTCGGTGTTTTGGGATGTCGATTGTATCAGACGGGATCTTAACATCTTTTTTCTTGTTAGAATTTTTTCAACATATTGGCTGATTTTCTGCCAGTTACAGTTAGAGGAGAGCATAAAATTAACAATGGTGGAGGGTTCTAGCCTATAAGATGTCTTTGTTTCTAAATCATATCTAAGGTGTGCAAAGGCAGAACAGTCAAAAAATGTATGATAAGCCGTGTCATTTATGTCTTCATTACAAATTGTACAAAAAGGAGATGTCTTTACTTTAAACCTATGTAAATAATAATCAAAGTCACCGTGCCCAGTAAAAAATTGCGTAAGATAATAGTTTGTATAGCCATGTGTTCTATTCATCCATTTATCAAAATCATTAATTAAAGTCTTGATCCATTTATTTTCTACTTTTTATTCCATTCACACTTCCATTCATTCATGATCTCTTCCTCAATTTCCTCCCTACGATCCTTGTGAATCATTGCAAATCTTCTCTTTTTTACAAGTAGATGTGGGGGTTCTATCCTATCGAATGACTATTGCTGATCTGCACCAACAATTCTCCCCGCTGAAAGTGTTACCTATTCTAACACTTACTGAATTTTTACCATTCAATAAGCTTTGCATCGTACAATGAATGGTCATAATATTTAGATGTAGATTAGGTGAGATTAGTTTCTAACCATCAGGTAAGCGTATGGCATGGTGACAGCATCCTCCAGGTTTACGTTGTCTTGCAGTTTCCACTGAAATACCGGATCAAGTTTGATACTTTTGGCACCTTGCTCGTCACTTTGCGCGATACCCACGACTTGCTCACCAGAACTAGTGATTCCAGCATAATCTAGAATACTGTGACCGATCTGGAAGGCATTTGCTAATAATATATTCATAATGGCACGTTATTGTCAGTTTTTTGTAAATTAAGAATCTTGACGAGTAAGGATTTTTTTTTTGGCAATCTCAAGAAACGAGCTAAAAGTTCAAGGTTGATTTAGCCAAATGGCTCAACACACTTTAAGACTCTTCAAAACTGAGTGTTTAGTGGGTTGTGCTACAGTACACAGATTTAAAAATAATTATGGAAACACAACTCAGCGGCCCTTTCACAATGTCAAAATGGTTTGACTTATATGCCAAACTCAATTTTTCTTCAAATGACCGTTAAGGCGAACGTTGATTTTGGTTTTTTTTTCGAAGCGAGAAATTGTATATAATTGTTTCATAACATAATGAAAATTATGAAATTGTATTTTTTACCAAATAGTTTTTTTTATACATATTTAACAAGTCCTACGTGCCCAGTTTGAAAGAGAAAACTGCCTATATGGTGCTAAAATTATTCCCCTGTCTGTTCATAATTTTTCTTCAGCAGAGCTTTATAACGTTCATTCTTGTGGATTATTTGTTGATCTGATCTTTAATCACTACTTCATCTTGCCAAGTCAATGCTTACCTCGGTATTTAGAACAGGGCTGACAAAATTAACGCTGACTCCTTCTAAAGACTGTTCGAGAAGATGCAACACTTGAGTTAGATTAGCTTGCTGTTGTGGAATACTTTGTCGACGGTAAGTACCCCATTGGCCGTTCACCAACACGTTGATTACCATCCCTCTCTTAATTTGCTCACTGTAGAAATTGCGGTCCACAGAGAACGGTGGCAAGCCTTCACCCCATGACAGAAAGCATCTGGACACATCAAATGTCTATTTTGAATTAAGTGAGAAAAAATACGAACAAAAATGAAAAACCTCCACTGGTGTCCCGACAAAGGTTTGAACATTCAATTTCAGACAGTCAATATTTTAAAATGCAACAACAGTCGTCTTCCGCCTTTTTTCCAAAATGTGAAAACTATCGAAATGTAGATAAATCTTCTTGGACATCAAGTCATGACAATCACTGGGTCTCGTACAAAGATTTGTCCTCTCTCTTTTACGCATTTTGATCATGCACAAACAAAATCTTCATCTGTAACACATACAACGTTCTACGGTATCTTAGGAATAATTTTGATGTAATAGTACGGCACAATAATGTGCTGCTGCTCGGCATGAAATATCTTTACTTTCTTACTCTAGCGTTGAAGTCTCTCTCTTTTTCAATAACATCTCACGTTTTTCACCATACGTTTTTGGAATGGGAAGTGACAAGAATGGTAGATAAATTGATATCACAGTGATCTCTAGTTTCTTGGTCGAGCGTTTAGGTCTCTCAGTTAGAGGTCTGACTCTTTGCTTTATACTATTAGAGGTGTAGACCTCTCTTCATCTTCATGTTCTTTATTCATAAAATAATTTTGTATTGATTCAATAAAACATGATTTTTTTCTTCTTTTTTTCCTTTTTTTACAAATTATTGGAACTCTTTAATCACAATGAAGTTTTGGACAGCTGCCTATAAGGCAGTATCAATAACTAATGGATGCGGGGTTTGAGACTTTTTAGCAGTGATTCTAACACTCCAAAGAAATAGAATGGAAGATTGAAACAAGCTTAGCGATAATACTTCAGGGCCATTCTTGTGAACTCAAGTGAAAATTTTGGAATTAGGTATATCTTACATAATAAAATAATCATTTTGAATTGACATGTTATTTCTAGCTCTTAAAATCCAGAAATAAATTTTACATGATGTCAATTCGCCAAATTTACTTACTTCACATTTGACACGCTGATTTCTTTCAATATTTCTTGGGTTATGACCAGGGGGTTAGCTAACGGTGATCGGTTGAACAAAAGAATAATACTCTCATCTCCATAATGTGTGTCATACTTCAAAGCTTCAACACTTGAGCTCCAGTTTTTAGTAACCTCACAAATTCTAAATTTTTCATTTACATCGATCTGAGAAGCACAAACAAACCATGAATGTAGTTATTTTCTGCACTTTTGAGTCAAATCGATTTTCATCATGGCAGTAAACAAGTATAGTATGATTTTTTAATGAAGGATAGGAAGCAAATGTATAAATGGCAGCATTAAAAATAATTATACAGTTTTCGAAACTCATAAAAAGGATAAGATAAATAAAGTAATTAGGACTGATTTCTGTCTTGTGCAAAATTAAAATAAAATCATGAAATAAATAAAAAACTTAATTTATGTTAATTTCATTTTTTGACTTGAAAGCAACACAATTTTTTACAGTCTTCGTTTAATTTTCAAGTGTCATGAATTTTCACAGTTTCTAACCACCTGTAGTGCCAAGGATGTTTAATACGTCTATACGGGCCTGCTCTAATTTTGATCCATAATATCATTGCCTACCGATTAGAAAAGTTGTCAATTGCATCGACCCAGAAATATAAGTTTGAGGACGGTACATGTACATTTATTTTTTCATTTCTTTATTCTTCTTTTTATGTGAGAGGTCAATCAACTTTCTACAGTCCTTTGACCGTTAAAAAAGGTTGTTCATTTACGGCTGTGGCATCGTCAATTTGCAGATTTTGACTTACCTTTTTTAAGAGGCCGAACCTTTTTGTATCAAAGACTTGCTCGTACAGAATGACATAGTCTTGTCCGTTTGCAGCTGCATAATCTATGACGCTTTGGAGCGTCACATCTTTTGGCATCGTGGTGAAAAGATACGCGTTCTTAAAGTTCTTCATGTGAATTAGTTGTAGGAATGATTTCGGCTCCGTCAAAATCGATAAATATGTATTAGAGGCTGACACGCAGCCATTTCGCGGTTCCATTCGCACCAATTCCACCTGCAAAGGAATTAAAAATGTTTGGAAGTCGCACACAAAGCAAAATTACGTACTTTTCAATATCGGCTGAAAATTGGCGTGAACTATTTTTGGATGTTGTAATTTCAGTTAATAATGTTTGAACCGATATTTGATATTGTGGTAAGACGGGCGTACTCATTTTATAAAATCTATACGCGATTTTGTCAATGCATACTGGGAAACTTGAAGTAAATTCAGTATGCTAAATGAAACACAGAATAACACGACAAATCTTATTTCTTGTTCAATTTCGAAGAATTCATTCAACATGTAGTAAAATACTTAATATTTTGATTGCTTGAGTCGGAAAATGGGTATCTGTGGTTGCGTTGCAAATATCCGCTCATATTTTGATTGAATGAGGTCACTTACATGTTGATCCATATCTTGAATTTGAAGAATATATTTGAGGAGGCCAAACATCAGCTCCCCGGCTTTTGATTTTCTTTGTGTTACGTTAATTTTAACCGTGCCCATGGAGTCAGCAGTGCCATCCGTAGCGTTCTCCTTAATCAGTTGAAGACATGCCAGCAGAAATTCGTACTCTGTCTGGGAATGAGTAATTGTTTTAAACATCAAGAACAAATTTAAAGTGCTGGACTGTCTAAGGTGAATTTTCAGAGTTTATGCATCCTTGCCACAATCGCATTTATTATTTAATTGACATACTTATAAAATAACTTTTGTTTTACTCACATTTATATTTTTTTAAAATGTGAACTTTCACAATTTTAAAAATTGTGAAATTGTGACAATGAGCTTTTCCATTGAATAAAATTATTGGATTCATTTATTTATTACACAGACAACTAAGAGGACAAAATAGTCAAGATATCGAAGAAGAATAACATTAAAAACATGTTCAAAAGTAACGTTATAAATTGGGAGGAAAAAGTTAATCCTTTAAAAAAAATAACGATCGAAGCAATAATTTCTGCATTAAATACAGATTTAAATGATAATACAAGAAAACTCGTTGACGTTCGGGTTATTGTTTTGTAATTTTACTTTTGCAGATTTTTATAATTTTTTTTTAATTCCGTGAAGTACTCCAAGTATTAAATATCCATAACCAATCACTTACCGAGAACGAGGTATTGCCATACGGGACAAAATGGAGGTACTCAGTAACTTCATCGCTGATTGATTTTATTTCTGAGTGCTGCGTTTTCACTCCATCGACCTTTACGCCCACACATTCAAAGTAGTGAAGTGTTGAGTCAAAAATAAAGTCAACCTTTGAACCTATCATGGCCGGCCGAAACAAAGTCAGTGTATACTGTTTTAATAAAATTTCAAATCATTGAATTTTATGAGTAGATATTGAGAAATCAAATTATAAATGCCTACCCTCCCCCCTCTCAACAAACATTGGAATATCTCGTTAAATATATATTACGATAAATCTACGAGCCTCTTTTCTATATAATTTAATCGGCAAAAGAACCTATAATTCCCCTTCTGTTGCTTCATGTGACAAAAATACAGCGATGCCGTAAATGACTGTGATACAGTGTGTATTAAATATATATGTCGTGCTCAACTGTAATGGCAAAATATATTACATGCTCCTCTAAAAAATTTCAATATTATTGTTGAAAAGTTTTCCATTTTAAATGGTCTCATATAGCTGCGGGATGGAATTACAATCCTCAGTCATCAGTCAGTGGATTTTGCATCATTTTTGAATGTAGGTATCAAGAAATGAGAGAAACCAATCGGATTCAGAAAATAAATTACAAACGAGAAAAGGCGACAAAATCTCTCATTTCCTGAGAGTAAAAGTATAGTACTTTCTAATTTTGTCGTCTTTCGGTGATATAAGAGACAACACCTTTAATTAGTCGAGTTAAGAGAGAAACCGAACCCGCAATTTGACCTGGAACGGAGCGTCGCGGCGGTCAGCATGAAACACATAGCGCCTACAAGACTGCATGAATACTTTACGCACTGCGGCAAACACACTGCGGTCAGCAGCAGTCGGCTTGAAACGCATATCGCCTACAAGACTACATGAATACTTCACGCATTGCGCCAAACAGTGTGGTCACTTGGTCAGCAGCGGTCGGCGTGAAACGCATGGCGCCTACAAGACTGCATGAATACCTCACGCATTGCGCCAACACAGTGCGGTCGGCGCGGCGTTGCGGTGGAAGTTAGAATTTTTTAACCACATTTATGTTTGTTCTTTCATAATTTTTCCGTTCTTTTTTATAAACGAAAAGCCTCGTCCAAACAGGGATGGGTTTACAGAACTGATAACTTTTGTTAGTGTTGATAGGGCTTTCACAAAAAATGTGCCCAACACGAGTAAACGCGAGTAAAACGAGTATACGAAGAAAAAAGCTTATTCACGGGAAAAATATTCCCTTATGAAGGCTTTTGCATAGCTGTGTTTGTTCTGTTTTATTTATTTATTGATTTATTTTTTCCTTTTAGAAAACTTACCTGTCTCAATAGTATGCATCTGGCCCGGTAGTATCCTCAAATATTGCACAGATACAGGCTTTTCCAAATGACCATCCTTGAATGCGTTTATTTTGAGGATTGAATCCAAGTTCACCACCCAGTCTTTGTTCCACACAATTTCTCCCGACAAACCTGTTTGTAAGATTGAGAGGGAAATGATAGTGCAAAGGCTGCGTTTCTGAAGATTTAATAGTGTTTGCCATTCTATTTACTGAGGAATTAGATGCACTGAAATTAATTTCAGTAATTCATTGAGGAGAAAATTAATATATGTATGCTTGCTGTGGAGCAAATTAGCTAGACAAGATCTACGAGAAATTATTTCATTCCTCGCGAGAACATATGCGAGATGAGTAAAAGGCATTTAATGCATTTTATAACGCTTTGAGTTTCACCCTGTCCTCCTCATCGAAGGATAGCCATAAGCAACACTTCTTTCTGTAGCAGCAGTTGATATTATATGGATTGATAGGAGATTGGTACGCAGAAAATTATCGATCGTGTCCTATCTTTTGAAAATAATTTTTCCCTGCGTAATCCTGAAATTTTCATAAATTTATTGGCATCAACAAACCTCACAGGCTTCCTTGTCTACCTAATTGTTTTCTCTGTACTTCAGATAACACAAAGAAAATGAATTAAATATGTCTGTTTTCATTTTTTACATGTAGGTTTGCGTTATTTTGAATGGGCAGTGTCCCTTATTGGGTGATCTGCATGTTTTAAAAATACTTTAGTTCACTCATTACTTTCATGAAGGTCTACGTTGCGCAAGTCTTAATTTAATCTATTTTTCGCTATCGTGAAAATGCAGGTGGCTTACCTCTTTGGCACTCGTGTAACTCGAAAATGCGCGTTCCAGCATAACTTTGGTCATCATTGATTTTACTCGAGAAACATCTGTTAATAGAGTCAAAATCTACAGTTCGCAGTGCTTCGTTATTCATGGAAAGCTCTTTAAATTTTGAATCGTACCTTGGATTTTCTAAAGCTTTGATTTTTCCGCTGTAAAGCATTTTGTTGGTTTCTTCGACTGTGTTTTTCCCTTCTTTTCTTGATTCAAGGGTTACGACAAAGTCTCCAGAGCCCGGTAAAACGGAGACCCAAATTTCACTGGAATCTGCAACGAGTACAAAAACCTCATGCCTCAGCCTGAGATGGAATTTAGAACGTCATTCCAGTCTGCAGAAAATGGTACGTGAGCGTTGCATGGTATTAATCTCAGAAATTGTGGGAAATATATACATTCAAACTATAGTATTATTCCTCTTATTCCTCTCGTGATTTGGCTCCATCGAGATCGCAATTGGTGAGGTCGAAAAATTTGGGGAAAAAACAAATTTCTCTTTAAAAAGAAAGCTAAAAGGCCGTGATGAAAATTTTACTACAGATAATACAGACTAAAAATATATGTAAATCGATATTTTCCAACGATGATGCGTCTCTGACGTGAGGAAAAACCCAAGAATCCGCACGATTAAGTTCATTTATTGTGTGAAATGTGCGTTGAAAGTTAACAAAATTTAACTTTTTTATCGTTTTACTTTTTGCTCATATATTGTGATATTTAATTGTAAATGAATACTTATAAAACTATTCTATGTAAAATAGCTCGTAATTTGATCTTATCCGCCTATAAAGCTTGTAAGGTATTTAGAGTGTGATAGTAAAAAGTCTTCGTTTATAAAATTTGCGGCAACAAAGGGTAATAAGGTACGTCCACTTATGGCAAATATTTTGAAAGCCTTACCATGAATTGAAGAATCTGGATCAGTATGAGTATGAACTCCCTCGAAAGCAATTGAAATATCTGTGAAGGATTTGTGAAGAACATTCCCCAAAATTTTCCAAACCTCCACCTAAAATAAAAGAAGCGGGGTGCTCTACTACGTAGATATTAGAAAAACGCTCAGCAGTCAAGTGGGATAAATCATTAAAAAGTTTAAATTTGAAGATCAATATACTTAATGAAAAGAGGCTTTAAGTAGTCTACAGAAAAAAATTGTTAAATGAAAGGGCGCATTTTCTACCATTAACGTAACAAAGTCAGGAAGCAGGCTAGTTCTTGCAAGACCCTCGTGAAATTGAAAAATCCAGAAGTGTTCGGATGAAAGAATACGCTCATTAAAATTTCAACGATAAAGTTTGAGAAGATTACACTATCTCCAGCGAAGTGGATTCTTGAAAAGCCAACTTTAGGTCCATAGAAAAAATTAAAAATGATATGATGCTCTAACCCTCTCAAAATCTGTGACAACTTTCCGTCATTTTGTAGCCGAGATAGTTAGCTACCAATGCAGCACCACCATTTTAGCATATAAGTGGTGGATTGAAAGAAAAAGACGCAATCAGCCTAGTGCTTAAAAATACCGCATACAATTTTAATTTTAGCTTTTAGTGATATGAAAATCGTCAGCGGTTATTCCTCTCTCCATTTTTGATTGAAGTAGACTAGCAAAGGTGATACACGTGAGATAGAGGCTATAAAATCAGATTTATCGCGCATTCTTTTCTTTTCTTTTTGAGCTTTAACTATCCAAACTCTTCTTAAGTAATTTGCGTTTTCCACTGCTTCACTAACATGACATATAATAGAAGGCAACTCTCCAGTATGAATTCTCTACTTTAATAATCGGAGGAAATGTTACTAACCAAGAAGAAGGAAAGCGGAAAAACCGGATTTCCGTTGGCTTCATACCTAGAGAGAGCCTCTGTGATTTTCGCTGTCGATATCTGCTGCTCACATTCGCCAGATTTTGCAGAGAAAATTTTCTAGGGGAAAAATACAAAATAGTTTCCTTTAATTAAAATAGAAGAGCTTACCCCACTGCTAAATGCACTGAATCGAAAAACAACCATTTGTAATCAAGTCGTATTTTTTTCTGTACTTGTAAACAGTTTTCAACTTTCCCTGGAGTCCGTTACATATTCTCACCTATTCATTATTCTTACATATTTATGTTCGGTATCATGGATGGGCTGCGAAAAAGATGTGCCCTTCAAAAATGGGTCAATCGTGTGAGTCTTTTGCTGATAAACTAGACAAATAAGGTGTGGAAGGACATCTCAACTACCTTATACTTCCTTTCATCCCACGTCCGTCTGCCTTTAATTTTTAGTGTAGGCACCTCATTTATGGTCGAATAGTGGCGCAATTGTAAAATCGTACGCACTCTTGGAACGCATACAGGAAATAGCTTTTTACAAAACCAAAGGCGGTATCTTAAACGCCGCATCAGTTCGCCTGTGCGCAACACGAGCTACCACGTGGTCAAACATGTTATCATCGTGAAATGGCACGATTACGTTATTAAATAATAATACTTGCGAGAAAGGCAGGCAAAGTTCATTGAGGTTAGGCTGATGGGCTGATTCCGCTTCAAAGTTAGTCAACCTTTTCTTATACTCCTTAAATGTCTATGGGGAAAAGTAGGGGAGATTTTACTCTCGTATCCATCCTGTTTGCAATGCACATTTGTATTAATGTTATCATGTGAGAGGCCATGTCAAGCGTTTTCTTTTTTTCTTTGCAAATATTAAACATTACCAAGTAATCTGGAATAGCGTATGTCTCAGAATGCTCCCAAGTTACAAACGGCTGAAGACTCGGGGTGTCGCATGGGACTGGATATTCCACAGCAGGGTATAACCTGGATACTTTAGGTTGAAATCCGAGCATGTATAACCTGTAAGAGGATACAGATATAACTAACTCCAGATTGGAAAAATTTAGAGTTTGGCTGTGATTTATAAAATTTTCTTCTAGTTATTTTCACGTGTACAAGTTAGAGTTAAAATCTGTAGATATATGCAGTTATTAATGGGTTTTTTTATCTAGAAGTTTGACAAATTTAAAGGCAGTCTTGATTTTAATCTGATAAGCTCTGTCCACTCCTTAAAAGAAGGAAAAGAGAGATAGTTGCTTATTTTTATTAGAAAAATTCAGCAAGTTAGGCTTTTAATGTCTTTACAGAAAATATGAGGAACGAGTACAAACGAGAGAAAAAAAATTGAAATAAAATAAGAGGGTGTTACTTTTTCATTCATGAATTAATTTTGAAAATTTTCAATGTGTTAAATATGTTTTGCATGAATTTTTGACGCTTAATTATTGTCCTATGTTAGAGCCCATTCACGGCAAGTTTCCAGGCGGTAAAATGTTCAGTTTTCTGTATGAAAAAAAAAAAAAAAAAAAAAAAAAAAAAAAAAAAAGGAAATTGGGCTACAAGCAACGCTATTTTGTTAAATCTGTTAAAAAAACATCTATACTTTGTCCTCCAATACTTCGTCAGCTTCCGGCCAAAGTATTGCAAGCGCCATGTCTCCATTTTATTTCTTTACGAAGAAATTGTTCAACGAGGCTGTCCGAAAACTTTACTGAGTTTTCTTTGATAGTGAATTTGCAAATGTCTTAAATTTTGTGAATTTCATCTTTAAAATGATACATACATAAAGCTGCTTTTATAGCGCAGCCTCGCGCTTTGCGACGTCCAATCGCCATTGCCCCCTATCCTCCCAGAGATCATCAGGCAATTGGCACCTTCTGATCTTTAAAATGACACTAACAGGAAAATTTAGTACGAGCTGACATTCTTGGTTTCAAAATGGAACAACTATTGGAGAAAATGTGACAAAATAACCTAATCTTCTAAAATACTTGTGTTTAAATGGAAAATGCCGCCAGATGACGTCATAAGACGGCACATTTTCTTACTTTTAAATCTAATTCTCTCCAATTTCCATGTCAGAAAACAATATGAAAAATACTGCGAACTCAGCTTATTAGGCACTCTCAGATAAGCAATAAAATTGTTGTGAGCAAATGTTCCATTTCTCTGTAAAAAATAAAATGGCGGCGGCAATTTTTAAACGTCGCATGGCGCTTGTAATGCTTTAGTAGGAAGAAGACGACTTACTGGCCAATAGCGTTGAGGAGAAACTCGACACCGTTGACTTCTTGGCTTGAGCTGAACCTCTTCGTCAGAGGAATGTTGGCTACGGTGTCCGGGAGCGCTCTCTTGAGAATGGCCTGGAGCAGGCCGTGCGGCGCGATTTCGATGACGACAGCGTTTTGCGGAATGTTTTTTATGGCCTCCTCGAAAAGGACGGGGCTCAGCAGATTGTTCGTGTGGTATTCTGGAGAATTGTACAAAGCCGAATTAGTCAGCCAGTTATTTCGCGGGACTGAGCTACTGATCCACTTCGGCGACCGTTTTGTGTTTGTTGTGATGACCTGGAACGATGAAATATGAGGTGAAGATGAAAGAGCTATTTCTTGTTGAACCCTGGAATTCTATACATAATCTTGACAACTTGACAACGTCGCATTATTCCAATGGCGACTCATACTGCGAATACTGGGATTCATATTTCCATTTTGATAAGAACTTACGCTTATAGCTGCCCCCTCCTGTTTAGCTAGTTTGTTCTCAGATCTCCTCGTCGGACCACGTTTTCTGTTTTCTTTTAATAAAAAATGTAATACGTACTCTATAATGACTACTCTGAAATAATACCGAAAACACCTATCCTCATTATTTCTTGCAAAATACCTGACTGGACATAAGCGTCCTCCTGTATGATGGCTATGTAGGAATGTAGGATGACTTTTAGTCACTTGAAAAATCGCTTTGAGACACAGAGAAGTATTTGCATTTGCTTTGGAGATTGAATTAAAATATTTAGCGGTGCCTGCCGTGATAACACTAACTATTATTATAAGTGGGTTACGTCTATGAATATAACAGACAACGGAAGTCTTTTATCTGACCGCGAGGTTTCACCCGAAACAATCACAAGTTTAAATTCAAAGTTTAAAAGAAAATTGAGATTGAGATCAAAATTGGATGATTTAATAATTTTTTTTGTGCACCAGAATTATCAAATAATTGGTCAATTTTGAATATATCATAGGCCAGCAGGTAACAAAGAGGGTAATGAGGATAGGTGTTTTGGGTATATTTCGGAGTAGTCATTATTGGAATATGAATTACATATTTTATTGAAAGAAAACAGAGAACGTGGTCCGACGAGGAGATGTGTTGGCGAACTAGCTAACAAGGGGAAGGGGCTGCTATACGCAGGTGCTTATCAACATTGAAATAGGACTCGCAGTATGAATGAGTCACCATAAAGCGACGTTGTCAAGATTATGATTAATTCCAGGGTTCAACACTCCCCCTTAATCTTGATATTTCTCTAATAAAAACGCTTATTATAGTATGGGGATACATCAAAACCTATGTGTCCTTCTTACGGAAGAACTCTACTCCTCATCGTTACAAAAAGAAACTTAATATTATTACAAGTAAATAAATTTTTAATAGTGTTATGTAAACATAGAAAAGAAAACATAGAATTATGTTATGATTTCAGAAAGTGTTTGAAAAAGACACTGAAAAAAAGAAATAATGAAAAGCATAGTAAATAGAATTATTTCAGAAATTATTTCACAACCCTATCTCTGAGTGATGTGAATTTTAGTTTCGGGAGGGGTTTGGTGAGCATATCGGCAAGTTGTTCGCTCGATGGACAGTATTGAATTTTGAAAAAACCCTCCGAAAATTTCTCATGCACGTAATGGTAACGCACATCTATGTGCTTGGATCGTCTATTGAATTGACCCTTTTTTACAACTCTTATAGTCCCTTGGTTATCTTCTTTCAAGATGCATCGAACTTGTTTGTCCGTTAATTCTTCTATGAAGGATTTTAAAAACAATAGATTTTTCAAAGTATCCGCCAACGCAATATACTCACTCTCTGTGGTTGACGTGGCAACTATTGGTTGCCTTCGGGATGCCCAGCTGACTGGGTTGTCGTTCAAAAGTACCATATATCCCGAGGTGCTTCGCCGGGTGATTAAATCATCAGCGTAGCTGGCGTCGCAGAATGCTGATAAAGTTAACTCAGATTCGGTTGACCGTTCAAACATGACACCATCCCCAGTGGTGCCCCTTAAGTATCTCAGTATTCGTTTTATGATATCAATATCATTTTTCTCAGGCTTCTCCATGTGACGACTTGCGTAGCTGACAGCAAAAGAAATGTCAGGACGCGTCTTGTTACTGAGATAAAGCAAACTTCCAACGGCTTGCCTGTATGGGAAATCGTCGGCGGAGTTTCCGGTTCTCTCTATCATCTGACCGGGCTCCATCGGCGTTGAAACAGGTTTACAGTCACTCATGTTAAAGGAATTTATGATTGAGTTCGCATACGCTTCCTGTGACAATTTTAATGTATCGCCCTTGGCCTCGATTTTTATGTTTAAGTAACACGTAGGGTTCTCCTCCAATGTAAGCTTAAATTCTCTCTGCATGGCTTTTACTAAATGATTTTTCTCATCAACATTTTTATACACAACCAGACCATCGTCAACATGAATGGCGAGCCAAAGTGTGCCCTTAGTATTTCTGAAAACACACCTATCAGATTTAAGCTGTTTTAATCCACATTTCGCAAGAAAGTCAGTCAATCTTTTAAACCATTGTAAAGGCGACTGTTTGAGCCCATAAAGTGCTTTCAGAAGTTTGAAAATTTTATTCTTATACTTAGTATAACCTTCGGGTATTTTCATGAAAACATTCTCCTCTAAATTTCCATACAAGAAAGCACATTTTACATCAAATTTCAGTATTTTATAATTGTATTGGAGAGCTAAAGCAAACATAATTTTTATTGAACTTTCGTTCGTTACGGGACTAAAAATTTCTTCATAGTCGAAGTCGTCTTCTTTTTGCTCATTTCCCCGAACGCATAAACGAGCTTTGTATTGACCATTATCTTTAATTCTAAATACCCATCTATTAGACAGTACTTTTGCCCCTTTTGCTTCTTTTTCGTCCACTAATTTGTAGACTTCGTTTTCTGCTAACGAATTTATTTCGTCTTCGATAGCAGTTTTCCATTTGTGACCATCTGGTCCAGTTACTGCGTCGGAAAATGTCAAAAGGATACAACTACTCGGTACTGGATCTCCATAGAATTGAGTTTGTTTTGTAACACGTCCAGCACGTGTTGCGACTTCGTTTTGTTCTTTTTGAAGATTTTCTTCCTCTGTCTCATTTTGAATGTTTTGAAGAGGCTCTCCCTCCGTCTCGTTTGCATTATTTTGATGAATCTCTTCCTCTGTCTCATCTTGATGCATTTCCACCTCATTCTCACTGAGATTCTCGTCTGATTTTTCTGATTCACTCTCCTCTCTTTTAAACAGATCCTCAAATGGATCACACACATTTTCTGCATCCAAAAGTTTATTGTTACTTGGTTTTATAAATGCAACGTCTCTTGATACTATTATTTTTTCGTCTTTTGCGTCCCAAAGTCTATATGCATTACTTGCGTAACCAACTAGAGTATACTTTTGACACCTTTCGTCGAGCTTTTTCAAATGTTTTAAATTTTTGGCGTAAGCCATAGAACCAAATATTTGCAGATACTTAAGATTTGGAGTTTTATCATACCATTTTTCATATGGTGTACAATTTAACCAAGACTTAGGGCTACGGTTTAGAAGGTGTGTTGCAGTGTAAACTGCCTCACCCCATAATTTCTTATCAACATTCCCTTCAAAAATGAGTGCTCTAGCACGTTCCAGGAGCACTCTGTTGGTTCTCTCTGCTGTCGAGTTCAATTGAGGAGTTGCCGGGGGGCTATAGTCCAAAATTATTCCCTTTTCTCGGCACCAGTCTTTTAAATCTGCACTCATATACTCTCCACCACGGTCACATCTTATTTTACTTACTTTTAGATTAAATTTTGTCTCAGCTTGTGTTACGTAGTCTCTTAAGTTCTCAAAAAGTTCACTCTTGTATGTCAGCAGAGAGACCATCAGAAATCCTGAAAATCCATCAGTAAAAGTTGCAATATAACGTTTATTGTCCCATGTATCAGGCTCAATAGGGCCACACAAGTCTGTATGTATTATTTCTAATTTCCGTTTTGCTCTTTCTCTTTCCTTTCCAAATCGGGTTCGAGTTAGTTTTGCTCGCAAACAAACATCACAATTATCTTTGTCACACATGCTCAGAATGTCTTTTTCAGTTAAATTAATGCCTTCGGCCATTTTTACCAGTTTTAACATGTTATTTTTACCCAAATGCCCCATTTTTGCGTGCCAATCTAATGCAGGGCTAGTGAGGAAAGCGTTACCTTTCATATCCTCATCTTTAATCTCACTTGGTTCACAAACCTCTGCATTTGCAATAAAGAGACCTGATTCATCCTGAGTACCTTTAAATACAAACTTACCATCTTTTTTAATTGTTACTTCATTTTTATCAAAGAATACCTGACCATCCTGCTGGGTTATTACACTTATGGAAATTAGATTTCTAGACGCTTCAGGGATATAATACACATCACGCAAAATAAATCGATCAAAATGAATCACTCCTATTCCTCTGGCGATCAAAAATTCGCCCTCTTTGGCAACACCAATTTTGTGATTACACTTAACAAATTCAGTGAAATATTCTCTAGAACGACAGATATGTGACGTAGCACCGGAGTCAATGACCCATGTTTTGACGTCACCGTCATACAAATTGTTTGCCATAAGCACAGGTTTACCATTCTTATTTCTCTTATTTTTCTCATCACTTTCATTCTTATCTCTAAAAAAACATTGTGCCTCTAGATGATTAGTCTTCTTACAAATTCCACAAGGAGGATGAGACCCTTTATTTTTGTTATCAGTTTTATCACGCGCACTGCCATTTTTATTTCTACAAAATTTGGCAACATGATTCGGTTTGTTACATAGATTACAGACAATTTTATCCCTACATTCTTTCAAACGGTGCCCTACTCGATTACAATTGTAACATCTCTGCACTTGTGCTCTGAAAGCTAAGCCTTCAGGTTCAGCTTTTTGGCTTTTGTGACGATTTTCCTCAGCCATAAGTCGTGATTTTAAAGTTACCAAAGTTTTACTCTCAGTAGCTGTGGCTTCCCAAGCTGCAGAAAAATAGCTGTAATGACTAGGTAGGGTTGTTATAATTTTAGTTATTAACATTTGCTCAGACACGTTTCCCTTAATAGCATTCAGTCTTGTGTAGAGATTTTCCAGAGTACTCACATGGCTCATGATGGAAGTACCTTTCTGATATTTAGCGTTGAAAAATTCCTCCAGAAGTTGGCATCTTTGTTCGGTGTCATCTCGTTCGTAGAGTTTCAAAAGTACATCCCACATTGCTTTTGCGCTGTCACAGTTCATGAGATGAATCATCACACTTCTCTCCACCGTTTAGACGATCACTTTTTGTGCAAGAGCGTCTCCTTTCTGCCATTCCTTGAGTTGTTTTTGGTCCTTCTTTCCATCTTCTCCATCCGCTGCAGGTTTCACACTTTGTCCCGTCAGTATCTCGTACGCATTCCCAGCTTTCAAAACAATTGTAACTTGGAATTTCCAAAACTGAAAATTGCTGGTATCTTTCAGTTTTTCAATGTCTCTAAGTTCATCGCGCTTGATGTTATCCATTTTTAATTTTTACTTTAGTCTTTCAGATTTCACAAAGTTCAGAATGATTTTAATTTTTCTTATCTTTCAAAAGTTCAAAGAGTTCCGAATTTTATAAAATTTAAAGTTTTTTTTAATTTTCCTGAACTTCTAGTTTCACAAACTTCAGAATTAACTACTGTCACTTTAGTTCTTCACAAAATTTTTAAATGTTTTAATTTTAATTTTATTTTTCACACATTGGGTTTTAATTTTTAATTTTAATTTTATTTTTCACACATTGGGTTTTAATTTTTAATTTTAATTTTATTTTATCCCTTCACAAGATGGTTTTAATTTTTTTTTTTAATTTTAGACACAAAGAACGGGGTTTTAGTTTATATTATTCGGTGCACAACATGATGAAAGTAGTTTTCAGTTTCTGCCCTTTTCCGAGCATCGAGTCACATTATTCCACAGGAACCACAAAACACATTAATCCATAGGACGACAATACCGCGATTTTCAGAAACACGCTGGGGCACTGTAGAATTCTTCTTACATTTTCAAAGAAGTATACCTCTTGGAAAATTTCTATCTATTTTCAAGATTTTCACTACAGAGGGATATTTTTAGTAACTGCGTTTCATTTTCTACCGTCGTCAGATGCTAAGAGTCTCCAGTCTGGGCATCCTCGACTTCAGTGGCTCAACTCCCTTGCCATAGACAAACGAAGGGGGAGTCCAGGGGGGCCTGGCTCTCTTAGAACTGAAAATAGTATCACATGCTCCCCCCCCAAAAAATAAAAATAAAACATTTCCAGATGTTTTGAATGCAACAATTCGCAAGTATTTTGTGCTGAAAGTATAAAAAAAAAAAAAAAAAAAAAAAAAAAAAAAAAAAAAAAAAAAAAAAAAAAAAAAAAAAAA